GGCAATCGGAGGTAGGCACAAGTACGGTGGTCGACAAGGTTAGATGGATCATCTATGTCAGCTATAAAAGACCTGATCCTAAATACAGATGCAACGAGATACTGTGAAGGCAGCCGGGGACGCATATGAGCGAAAAGGCCAAAAAGGCCCCACTACGAGAGTTATTGCAGCTGATGGAATGTCTGGTTTTTTAAGAGGTCAAAGCTTCGTTGATCTTGATATTTCTCGAAATATTACTTCCAAGGTGGACGAAAATGTCTACAGATACGTGAAGATTTCAACGCACACCGATCCTGGGCACTTTGTACCCATCAGGGGGTACTAGTGGACACATAACTACCGCATCTTGTGTGTTGGTTGACTATCTGCAGTTTTTGCGGGCAGGTGCAAAAAGGTGCATGCTCCGCTGCATGTCCGCTTCATTCATGGTATAAAACGCGCAACTATCTGTGAACAGGAGACCGTAAAGGCTGGTTATGAAGAATCACGTAGATGGTAGATAGGGCACTGACCTATCGCGTTACGATGCGTACTCGTCTCGTTCTCTCTTGAGACTAGATCCGCGCAGACAGCCGCACGGCGGCTAGTAGAATAGGCAGAAAGAAATTACCGACAAAGACACGGGAGACAGGAGTTGCCATTTCTGGCTGGTGAAAGCATATTTTTGAGCATTTTTCTGTAAAATATATTTGAGCTTATAAGGCTACTGAAAATAAATGGGAAACTGCGTATTACTTATGTCGTTTTTTACCGAGTGCGTTTCATTCAGACGGCTGGAAAGAGGCTCATTTAAAAACCAACATTTGGGCATGACTGGAATAGCTGGGGATTGTGCTGCACGATAATCAATATTACAACCGCACATAAGTAATAGTCTGTAGTCAAAACCCCGTTTCAGAATTTCGATTAATACTGAACTACATGGGCCAGGGACTGTATTTTTTCAGTTTTGTGAGCCATCCAAGCGTTTTTTACCTTGCTAATCTACTGTTGCTCCAGGTCTTGAATCAAAGGGGCTATTTGTTGGACTCCGTTCGACGGTTAATAAAGGCCATGCATAGACTTTTATTCAGACATCAGAGTGCACATCTCCTCGACACTATCCAATCAGTTATGGTGCTGAAATGAGCGATCAAGAACCTCCAGGACACTGGAGTTGATGGGGTCCGGCAATTGAATTAACCGTTGCCCACTGGGTTGTTAACAGCGAACCGATATGCCAGGCTACACGTAGGCAGATACATTCTGGAAATCCATATGGAGGTAAAGAGAAGGGGCCGTTGTTTTGTACATGGTTTCGACCGTGTGCACACGGCGCTATGATCCAGCGTCTGTTCGGATCACCTTTTCTAGTCCTGTTTCCCTCGAGGGTACGCAGTGCTATCGCTGGACAGGGCTGCCGGTCATCCCAGGTGGCTGTCAAATTCTACTACTAATTTTGTTTGGTGGAAAGACAACCCAAATTATCCACGCCCGCCTGCGGAATCGTTGTCACTCACTGCGTAGGACTTTTATCTTTGAGGAAGGAAGTGAAGGTAGAACGCATAAAAGGGCCAGCAGGTGTGGGGCCACACCAGATACCCTCATCTGATTTAGTTAGCAGGTCAAAGTGATTACTAGGGTGTAGCCATCAAGTAGCGCGTAGCTTCAAGAAGCCGCATATGAAG